CGAGGGGTGAATTTGCCATATGATGCAAGATATGGGCGGAGAGAACCCACCCCTCCTTTGTGTTGGTCACGTCATTGTTTGATCGGAATCTCAGGAATTCTTTACAGACTTCCGGGGGGATGTGTAGGGTAACAATGGTCTAGAGCGTGTATTGGGATTAAACGTGTGGGGGGGTACCCGTCGGCCCCATATATCGTGCACGGTATCGAATTTGCCAAATGCAGCAAGGTATGAGACGGAGAGAACCCCCCTCCCTGCTTTGTGTTGGCCATTGTCTCGCAGGAATCTGGGGAACTCCTTTCAGACATCTTGGGAAGGATGTGCTAAGTAACAATAGTCTGGAATGTGTATAGGGATTGAACATGTTGGGGGTACCCCTCGGTCTCATTTCTTGCTGGGTATAGAATTTGCCCACGCTTTTGGATTTAGTCGGGTACCGTCTCGGCTACGTACCCCGCCATTGTTTTGAATAGGAACTATCTGCCTATAGGTTTGTGTGTCTGTGGTACTCACCCATTGATCTCCATTATATAATGGCGATCAATGTGCTCACGGCATGGGCACGCCATCGATGCATCAGGCGCGCAAGTATTACGCGCGTTTGACGCGGAGCACGCCCAGTATCCGTAACTAATTTACTGATTATTCCGGCATGTATGGTCTTTGAGTACACATTTCCAATATTTCATATTATTTTCCACCTACTTGAGGGCAAATCTGGCAGCGTATTGATCCAACAAGGCACATATTAGTCGGGCTCTTTGTGGTTCAAATAGACATTCACATAAATGTATTCAGGAAAACAAAAGTGGAGTCCAATCAAGGAAACAGTTACGTCTTTACAACATCCGTTTGGAAGCTTTGGTATTTCTTCAGTGGAGGCCCTAATTTCTTTCCTGATGTCATTTTTCGGCAACATAAGTTTTTGAAAGCATGTCAGTGAAACTGTTCACATGGAGACATCAGGTTCAACTTAGAAATAGATGTACATCTATCCACTAAGAACAAATATATAAATGTAGCACCATTGCACAAACGCTTTCCGCTATGTCGTGATAATGCCCTTAGTGCTCAATGCAACTCCCTGGAAACATGAGGTTATGCATTCAGTGTGCTATAAAAATAAATCTTCCACATTCTCTAACAATACCTTGCATGCATAGAAAACTGATAACTAATGTTCCATGTTTTATCCTGAATCCCCTACTGTCGTTAATCCTCCAAATTAAAGACAAAACCAACCAAACATAAACAAAACAACCAATTAAAAAATCATAAACAACAAATAAATAAACACCCCCCCACCACCCCCGGATATGCCAGAGCACCACCTCCCCTCCCCCAACACTGCCCCTCCCGCCGTCACATGACATCCCTTTTAAAGAACCGGAGGGCGCCCTCCTGGTGCAGTTTCCCCCACAGCCTCTTTTCATTCTCCACGTCGTGCGTCCACGTGGACCTGTAGGTGCGCTTCAGGAACTCGGCGTCGTAGTAGTGCATAGAGAACTGGGGATCATAACCGAAGCCGTAGATGGTGACCGAGTCGCAGAGGTGGACGGCCAACATCACCACAATAGCCCCTGCGAAGGAGACGGGTATCGTCAGTTGGAGAAACTTTGGCGGGGTTTTTTTTTTCCCTCTCCGTCGTCATTGCACACCCCCAACATAAAAGCAGCACCGTTTTACGCAGCAAAGTTTCTTGTACTTTTAATTTACCTGCTCTTGGTGCATTTCTACCTAGTCAAGGGAGTTGCCCACAAGGGAAGTGTGGCTTTGTGGTGGCGCTTTGCAACTCTTGATCACAGGGGTCAACGTGGGGTTCAAATCCGGCTCCGGGTATGTGCTGCGACCTTGTTTTGTCATAAACATACCCGGGGGTATGAATGTGTACTTGCCAGGGCAGAGGTGGGTATTGTTTGCGATAAGCTGTACGACCGTGGGCAGCCCGGATGAAAGTGGAACTTGGCCGACTCACCTGTGGTCGGCTTCATGGCTCGGCCGTCCAGGAACTTGGCAAAAACATAGCGGAAGAAATCCGGGTGGATTATCTTCAGTCTGTCCGGGTCCATTCTGCGGCTGATCCTTAACCTGTGAGGGAAAGGGTGGGGAGAGGGGGGGGAAGGGGGNGGGGGGGTGGGGGAGGAGAGTAGGGGAATAGATTAAAAAAGCAAAGGGTCACTTCTGTTTTCCCCTGTATTCGTGATCTATGCAAGACTCAGTTTTTCAGAAGTCCACTGCTTGTCAGAGGATGGAGGAGGTTCAAGCAACTTTTGTTGTGTGCCCGGCAAAAGGTCGTAGGCGCGCTTACGCCCTTTCCCCGGGAAGTATGATCACAGCAGAAAAAACTTTCCCAGAAAAAAAGGCATACAAAACACACTTTCTATATTTAGTAAAATTGGGTAAAATTTCCTACAAAATCAACATAGGCTGTTCAAAAAGCAACCTTTGAACAACTTTACATGTATCAAACTACTCAGGAACTTTTCAGAAACTTTTTGCAAAGACATCTTTTTTTTTTTCATTACAAAAATTCAGTTGCAAACATACATCCTTTTGCCAGGAAATTTTGTTTGCAGTGATCATGCTTCCTGGCAAAAGGTCGTAAGGGGTTAAGTCCTTTTCCAGGCACCCGACGACGTATAAGACAACGGTTGGCTTAATTATACCTAATAAACTGAACACATTTATCATGACTGACCTGTTGATATTGAGTAATTCAGCTACGTACTCCACATCAAACGACTTGTACATGGTGTATAAAAGTGTGACATTCTGAAAAAAAAAAGACATCAAACAGACAAACTCGTTGGCTCTCATCAAGTAGGGGAACAATTTAGACATCCCTCTATGGCCGAGTTTGGGCGGCTTGTTCTTGTTTGTTCACAAAGAGCTCGATTTGTTGTTCGTGGGTCGGCCGCTCGAACGCCGGGAACAAACAACCGGTTACCGATGGTAGTTAGTGACAAGCAACATGGCTGCGTCCATGTAGGCTACGTTATTCGAAAGTTAATGTTTGGATGGGCTGAATTGTTTTCTATATAAACAGGAACATTCATTTCTGTGTAAAATCAATAATGTTAATTTTGCAAAATTTCCCATTATCCGTGGCTTTGAAAGCCATCTCTCTACTTTTTGCAGCTGTTCAAAAATCTAAA